TATTTTTGTACATGAAAGTATCACAGTTTTATATACATATATATATATATACAGATTGTAAGAGAAGTTTGAAACCCATCGAATGACATCTGCGATATTACCAACTCTACAGTTTTTCAGAAACTGATATCAACTTGTGTGTTTCTTATGGAGTGCTATACATTTCATTCGATATATGTATCTATGCTGCGAGACATTCTGACTACTTTTTATCAAACATACTTTGACGTAGGCCTTATAGTTTGCGAAATATTTGGTATTTTTTCCACCTAAGCAATGGCCGGTATCGAAAGTAATGTCATTTGTGACTTTCAAAAGTCCATTGAGTTTTGTTAGTAGAGTTATTCAGAATGATTCATTTAACTGAAACCGAGTAAATAGAAACGTCGACACGTACACAGCAGGAAGTATGCGAATTTCTTGCAGAATACAAATATCGTATAAAGTATGCCATATAGCATTCCATAAGAAAAACAAAAGTTGCTATCAGTTTCTGAAAAGCTATAGATTTGGCGACAGCGCGGAAATCATATCCGCCGTGGTTTCGCAGCTAAACCTAGAAATTTTGAAAAAAATTAAATGAGATCAGATATTTGATGCGTTCCAAACTTTTGTTACAGTCGGTATGTCTAAGGACTATTATTTCACCTCCATGCAAGGTTGTCAGCCGCGTTGGAATGGGAAGCTACAGCCTGAAGAGTACATCTAACATGCTCAGAATGGAGTGTATACAAAAGAACTCAGTAGAGCGAATCCAACTGGCATAAGCGAACTGGTTTAGCCGCCCGTGGACCTGAAAGATGCATGACACTCTGTTAGGGAAGTTATTACCGATCGGTTGTGTTACTCTTTTCTGAATCCCTAGTATATACACGATCTCCCACTTCAATTCTTACCCCCTACATATTTCGAGAAATGCGCATTCTAGAAAAAAAAGGTTCAAACAAAAGCAGTAGGATTTCGAGGAGGCAAAATGATGGTGACCTTCACAGTAACCTTTACGTACAAGTGAATATTACCAAAGGGAAAATCTTACTTCTGATTATCACATTGGCCATGACTTTGAACACCGCCATTTCAAGGTCAAATCAATATCTCAAACACGATTTCTTTTGTTCCAAATGAAACTATCAATTTGTATACCGGTAATGGAAAAAGCAGGAAGGTTCACATTGAAATGTGATCTTGACTTCAAGTAATATGAAAGCTTTAACCTTTCCTTCGAAAAGTCTGGCTTGACTTTGAAGGTTATGGTCAAGATCATTTTTGGATGATTCCAAAAACTGTACTGTCGAAGATTTTTGCTAGAGTAAATCGTTTTCGAGATCCAGATTTGACCTTGAAATGAGTACTCAAACTCGAGGCTAAGGTGATATTCAGACATAAAATTCGCCCATCCTTCATCTTGCGATGTGAGAAGTCGAGTTCATCTGGTAATATTCACTTGACATTAAAGGTCACTGTCAAGATTACTCATCATCATTTTTAGTTCTTTATTTGACCTTGAAATCGCCTTGGAAACAATGATCATGGTCATGGCTAAGGTAAGATTCGGGTATAAAGTTCGATTCTCTTGTCAATTCTGATGTGAAAAGCGGGAAGTTCCATTTAAAAATATTCACTTGACCTTACAATTACTCTGTAGGTGATTGTAGCGGTCACCATCATTTTGTCCCCTCGAGGGTCTACAACTATCGTTTATAATTTTGTTCTAGAACGTATTGTTTTCGAAATATTTGGATGGGGAGATTAAAATGGGTCACCGCATATAGTGTAGAAAGCACAAAAATCGTACTACATTACAGCTACACGCACAAGAATTATGTAAAAAACCTAAAAACGTCAAAAAAAACCTATAAAGTGTCATCTCGCAGACTAGATAGTTTTTAAGGTGCAAGCAGTCATTCCACGTTTGATCACTAGGATCGTTGTGAGCGTCCATCTATGGAGGAATAGCTCAACTACACGCATTGTTGGTTGCATATGTTTTGTGAAGCCGAGTCGTCTATAGTTTTCATGTCTGAGAAGAAAGTTGGTTGAATAGCAAGATCGCATCTGGATGATTGTATACTAAGTGACATATAAATTCGAACACCCAGTTTAAATGGTTTTATTTTAATAAAAGTTGGTGAATGTATTTATCTTACTGTAAATAACAAGTGAAAAAATTTTCAGCCTTATCAGTTGGACATTCCGGTTTTTATACTGCTTTTTTTTTAATTCACTAACGCTCTAAAAATGAATATTTCAGCCGCAGTAAAGAATCAACGTTGGCGGATTTTGGTTCTTGACATCCTTTACGATCGGTTACGATGCCTAGAGTACGGAGACCTGTACGATTTCGTCAACTTAGTGAGTTTGATAGGGGCCGTATAGTGGGACTTCGGGAAGCTGGACTTTCTTTTCGGGCAATTGCAGTTAGAGTGCAAAGAAGTGTAGACACTGTGGTTAGGTGTTGTCAGGCTTCGAGAAGGCCGTACGCAAAGAGCAAGGGGCACTGGACGCCGCCGTAGAACAACAGACCGTGAAGATCGCCGCCTAAGATTATTGACCTTAAGGGACCGTTTCTCCACTACCAGGTCCATTGCAAATGAATGGTTTGCAGAACACGGAAGACCTATTGGCATGCGAAGTGTTTACTGACGAATGAGAAGTTTTGGCTTGTTTTCATAGCGGCCACACTGGGTCCTCCCTTTAACTCGAGAACACCGACGTAATCGCCTTGAGTTGTGCAGACAACGGTCACTCTGGGATCAGGAATGGAACTGTATTGTCGTTAGTGACGAGTCTCGATTTTGTTTAGGCATGCACGATGGTCGTGTCAGGGTTAGAAGGCGACGTGGTGAAAGGAGGAATCCACAGTTTTTTGTTGAAAGACATGTTCATCACACTGTTGGAGTTATGGTTTGGGGTGCTATAGCTTATGGTTCCAGGTCACCTTTAATCTTCATCAGATGTAACATGAACGCGCAGCGTTATATCCACGAAGTTCTAGAACCCCATCTTTTACCCAAACTTGACACCCTGGCAGATCCAACTTTCCAACAAGATAATGCCCGACCACATGTTGCAAGAGTCACAATAGACTTCTTTCAACATAATGATGTCACATTGTTACCATGGCCACCAAGATCTCCCGACTTATCCCCAATTGAGCACGTGTGGGATATGATGGGTAGGAGATTGCTCAATTTGCAACGTCCTTCTCAGTCTCTAGAAGCACTTCGAGAGGAGTTGGTGGTTGCCTGGAATGAGATACCACAGGAGGACATTGACCACCTGATCAGAAGCATGCCTAGGCGCGTTGCAGAATGCGTAGCACATCAGGGTGCATCCACACATTATTAAAGGTCAAAGGGCTTTAAAGCAGTGCAATCATTTTGAAATTTTTATCATTTACTTATTATGCTTCATTAAGTACTTATACAAAATTTTATTAAAATAAAACCATTTAAACTGGGTGTTCGGATTTATATGTCACTTAGTATATGTATCTGCATGTCTATAAAGTCAGTGATATTTGCTATATGAGTTACTGAATATGCTGCCGATGGAGTATATCTACTAGCTGTACCAGACCGGTTATTTATATGTTGTCCTTTCTGAAGGCTTATGTTCAAAGTTATCAATTACGATTTTTTACTTTTTATTGTGTTTTCAAAGACTTTGTGGAGAATTACGGAAAATCAGCCCCGCGCCCGCGTTGTGTCTAATTACTTTTAGCATGTATATGACTTGTAATTTGACAGTGTACAGCAAATATAATTATTTCTTATCTCACTCGTTTTTGGATTTCAGCAAATTTGCATATGTAATTTCCAGAATGGATAAGAAGTGGATTTCTAGCTTTGAATCTCAAGTAAATGTATTTGAGACAAGAATCCAATGGAATTATGAAAACATCACATATTACTGGCACACAAATCCTCACTATCCACCTACGTATTGCCGTTACCTCCAGTAATGCCATCTCTGAAAGAGATTTGACATCACATCGGAGCCAAACATTGATAACTGAAGCCTCATGACATTTAGGCAACACGTATAACTACAAAACGAGTTCACAACGAGTACATCAGCTAGTTCTAAATTAACATCTTGTAGAAAAATCTACGTCACAAAAAAACTAATTTATCAAAAAATCGACATAATGTCACTTTTCAAGATACGTAATACACTCCACTTGCTGTTGTAGGCTATACGGATAGTGTACTCGTTATTGCATTTGCGATTTTTAAGTAAATAGAATGCAGATCTTATTTATACCTTAGAAATAAGTATTTGCTAAATCTACCTGTGCATCACAGCCCTACAATTTCAGTCTTACGCTTTAGCTTCCCGTATCGTTCAAGTTGACAAGTTCATCTTAAATAAGCAAGGCATTACGATACGACTGTATCTTAAACAAACAAGCCAGTCTACTAATTATCAAGTAGTGATCTCGCTTCGAATGCACGTAATTTCCTACGCTGCATCATGCCGGGTCAGAAACGTTGAAACCGATCTCACTCCATTTAGCAGCTTGCAAAAACATAAACGTTTCCAGGCGCTCGCGCCCAGGCGACAATAATTACTGTGAAATGGGACAAAAAGCACATGGGCATTATTTAAAGCATACCGCCAGTTCGTATATTGTGTTTTTGCCGAGGTTTCCCAGAAGGAAGCCCAAAGTTACTGCAGGGTTTTACAACCACCGACAATGATGGTTATATTTCAAGGACGGCGGAAAAGCGACTGTGTCATAAATACGCTTCATGTATTCCCTTAAATGTTGGAATGAGCTTTTACTCGAATAGGAGATAAGATTGTTGAAGATACTGCTTTACACCCCAATAGACGGGAGAGCTTTGCAATTTTGATATTCTGTTGGGTATACAGTTGTATGTTGGATTTTTAAATATGTGTATGTATTGTTCCTTTGTAAATGTTTATTTTTTTAATTCCCTATAGCAATTTCATGACTGGAGTGTATTTTTCATTGCGAGTCCCTAATTACTCACCAACCATAGGCGTAAAATGCTTTTCTACCAGTGTGCGGATTGTCTTACTTTCAACGCTCATCTGCGTGAAGAAAGTAGCTCTTTTCTGCATGCATAACTTTTCCGCAAGCATATCTTTACCACACGCATTATGTGTTATATTCATTAGATTGAATATTTTTGCTAATGGAAATGATTTGTTAAGTTACGTATTTAGTCATTCTTTTGTTCCTTAGTCTGTACCTCGCACACACAGATAAAGTGTCCAAATCACTTTGATTTATATTATATCAGTTTAAGAAAAATAACATACGTATTTTTCATCACCAATTAACAATAGGCAGATATATCGGATAGTTTGTTGCTATGATTAGACTGAAATTTGTTTGTCAAATATACTTGTCAAGTACGAGTCTCATTTTAAACGCATATTTTCATCAATATCGCAAAAAATCAACAATTTTGCTGGAGTTGTACCGGCAGACGATATTTCGGAAGCCGCAAATGCCGCAACGCTAGAACTTTTATCCGCAAAATTCAAAGAAAGCTACGAAAAGGAGCACGGAAACTTTGAGAAGCGGTGCCATCGTCAACCAAGGAAGAAGTCTACCTGGCTTACTTTGTAGAGATTGCCAAAGTGTATAAGCCTTCAAAATTATGGTCACGTTATTCTATGTTGAAAGCTATGCTCAAAATAAGAAGACATATCGATATTGCAAAATATTATAACTGTTGCCTTAGAACTGTTTCCCTAGAAAATAAAATAGTGGATTTCGCCAACAAAAATTTTCCCTAAAGCAGACATTTTTTTTATTAATGTTCCAGATGATATTTATCTCATGGTAAAAGTAGCTATCTATGCCTAAGACGTTTAGATTCTATCAATACGGTAAATTTAAAATGCTTTATGCTAAGCTATCTTAAAAATGTACGTATGCCTATATAAGGAGATAATATAGATTGATTAGGGCCTACATAACTTTAAATAAGGTAAACATCAACTTTTATGTATCCGGTATTTGTGAACTTTAGCGAGTCTATTTTATTTTCAAATATCCCATATATGTACAAACATAAATTTATCGAAAGTGTTTTGTGTGACGTACAGTCTCCTGGGTGTTATTTTTGGTATAAGTAATTCAAGAAATGTTCTAAACATTTTGAGGTGATAAAGATTTTTTGACTATGTTAAAAGAAACAAATACTTATTCAAAAACAAGCTGTTAATTAAAATGTTATTAAGACAAAAAATTTTTAAATATTTTTTCCGAGTATTTAAAATACAATCAAGCTCATTCATCTCAATTTTCCAAATAAAGACGTTTTTCCATCTTACTGTTAAAATGTAACACACTTTTATTTGAAAACTTCAGATGGAAGAGCTTCATTGTGGTTTAGATATTTTCAATTGGAAAAAAATATTTTTAACATCTTGTTTTTAAGAAAAAATTGTATTTTAGTTTTTTTTGTATTTATGATATAAAACAGCTAGTTTAGTAATTTCTATATAATTTTCCTTATACTATATTACTTACATAATACTTATTTTACTTGCATTATCAAATTTCGATATACCTAAACTATCTAGTAATAATTCGATACTTGGGGCAACCACACTTTGCTTATTGTGTTTCTCTCATCAATCCCTTTCATTTGATGCTAATATTATAGCGGTAACCATGTAAATTTTCAAAACCGCCATTTAACGATGGTCGCTATATTGAATTTAGAATAAAGTCACTCTACAAATTATGTTTCCTTCACCAAGACCTTTTATTTGATACCCATGTCTATCAAAATCTAAGGCGCCATTTTGCTGCGGCCGCCCTATTTTATTTAGCTTCACGTCACTTTGATTACTGTTTTTCTCATCAAGATTTTTTATTTGATACCCTATAGCAGGGATGACTATGAAAAATGTAAATCGCCTTTTTGCGATGGCCGCCATATTGGATTTGGAATGACGCCACTTTGCTTATTGTGTTTCTCACGTTTGATACCCATATCATATGGATTACTGCGGAACTGATAAATCGTCATTAGCACCAGTATCTTAAGTGCAAACACAAAATTTGATCAGGGACTGACTCCACTGAAAAGTTTTGCAGATTTGAACTAGACATAACGAAAACGACATTTTAGTGCCCAATTGTCTTTACGTCAACACTCGTTGTACTTCCCATTTTCACTTCCATAGTACCCACTCAAGCAGCAATGTATAAACTTTTTTCACAACCCCGCTAACGTCTTCATTGTCATGGCAACTTGGCAAATATGTATCCACGTGGAGAGATATAACAGTGATATATGCACAAACGTATATATTCCGAGATACATGCAAATACTGCTTAACAAAGTTAGTTTAACAAACTTGATATAAACTTATCCCATCTCTGCAGTCCTACTTCAAACAGCAAATTGAATACAGATTACAGAAGGCAAATTATATAACATCCGAACTCTCGAGTATGGCTAATTCACTTATGCACAACGGTATATTTTGTAGACACTTCCTTATTTTATAGACATGGAGTACGTTGTGGGTGTGAAGTAAATTACGGTGTAGAATGCGGTGTCCACTTCGCACAGTATGCCCTCTACTCCTATTGTTTTCGGATCGTTTCGCTGTGTCTGGCATTTTCTGGGTGTATAGGGTGTTTATAAAATTCAAAATGCTTCAAACGTGTACTTTGCTTAAAATGCCCTTCAATCACTTTATCTTGAACGATTAGATAATAAGCAAGGTATGACCAATTTTGAAAAACTATACTCCAGTGTAATATAGTCTTGTACACTGTTAATAAAGGAACACTAGGTTTGAGAAAACAGTCCACTATCTTAACGAAACATGCATTAATCCCCCTGCCTGTCGGGCCAATGATACCTCATGTATTGACAGAATCTTCTTTACTGTAAACGTTTCAATCACAAAGGTGATCTGACAATATTTTGATTTACCTATTTCCAGGTGAGCGTTTGGTTTTCCTTTTCATTATCGCATTATATATAGTACCATTTTTTTTCATACGCCAACTACCACGAAGGCCTAAGGTCCAAACACCCATGAGGTACCGTAGTGCTATAGGGGGACACAGGGGAAAGGGGGTACGCCACACGGACTCTGACGAGGGAACACGTATCAATCTGTATGTCGCATACCTATGCCCATTCAGATAGCCATTTCTAAAAGAATATTAATATAACATACTACAGGGTGCGTCAGAGAGGATGGACGGTTTTAAAAAAATCATAAAATTGTTAATTTTTACTCGAAAACAAATTTATTGATGGAATCAGGTTCACAAGGAAATAGCATTTGAGACAGTCAAGTATGGAAAATCACATCAGGCATGTGGTAGCCGAAATCGTTGATGCAGTGCTGGAGGCGTTCTTGGAAGTTCGCGTAGACTCCCTCCAACATCGCTCTATCAACTTGGGCGAATTTCGCCCTTCAATTCGTCCAGAGTTCGGGGCTTATTCGCGTATACTCTAGCCTTGAGGTGTCCCCATAAGAAAAAATCGCATATGGATATATCTGGGGACCGAGGAGGCCAATGAACATCGCCAAACCTGGAAATAAGGCGACCAGGCAAGAGAGGGCGAATAACGTCCATCGATGCTCGGGCTGTGTGAGCGGTCACCCCATCCTGCTGGATCCATATGCAAAATTCGCCTTACCGAACGATCACTAAGGCGAAGTATAGCAGCATGTTTCCGGGCAGATCGAGTCGGACTGCGAAGAAAGACCTGTCGAACGCGTTCAACATTTTCAGGAGTTCGAACTGTTCGCGGCGCTCCTGTTGGTCTTCTGTTCATCAGTTCACTACGCCTGCGAAGTGATTCAACCCAACGAAGGATGGTGTTTCGAGAGGGAACAGCTCTATTCCGATGAATGTTGAAGTGGCGACGAAACTCACGCATTACGACGATGACTGACTCATTATTTCGGACGAAACAATCATAGGCGAAAACGCGGTGCTCCACCGTTCAAGGCTCCATAGCGACAACTGGTAAAATAATGCTAGGATCTCACGAGTCAAACGGCACCCTCCCCACCTCTCTCGTAGACGGAGGCGGAGAGTACTACCCATCCCAAAAACGTCCGTTCTCTCTGCCGCACCCTGTATAACGTGTTGATAACTAGTTAATGATTTATAAATGATTTAATGTTCAAAGTATATTCTAGGGTTATAAAGTACCATAAGGAGTTTCAAACGACGAACTCCCAAAAAATGGTACAAGATAGCACTCAGCCACTATCTTGAAATTTTTAACTATTATCATCAATTTCATCATCCTAAACTTAGGCTTGCTCTTTCACGGATCCAAAAGTGGAGGGAAGGATTTCTGAAAAGCATTTTATAGATTAATGTGTATTCAAAAACATTTTAAATCGCTCATACTTTCATTCCCTTTTCTAAGTATCTTCATCGTTTTTTAATGACCATCCTTGAACAATTTGTGCAGCATCGTCTATTGGCTGGCGGCGATGGAAATGTGCTTTATAATTAATAAAGCGGTTCCTGTGGAAAATAGTTAACCCATTTAGTATTCTGCCGATGCTGCCTGGGAGCCAACTTCAAAATTGGCATAAACCATCGGAAAATTCTACCACGCGCTACACGATCGGTACAGATGAACAGGACCGAACTCATATCGAATTCAACCACCACTACAGAATTTTTTTCTGAATCTCTTAGAGAATGGAAAAGCTACGTACGGTTGGTAATATGTATACTGTATAATGACTTCATGCTTTATGCATAATTCTTATGTTTCGTAACCAACTTAAACGCAAAAAGGAATATTTATGAAACTCAATAATGTCCGAATGTAACTTAAATATGGTAAATGTCAAACGTTAGCCATTGATTACACATCTCCCACACGGATATTATGTAAAAAACCTATAAAGCGTCAAAAAAACAATAAAATGTCATCTTGCAGACTAGGTAGTTTTAAGGGTGCAAATAGTCCATTCCAGTTTTGCTCGCTATGTTCGCGTCCATCTATGGAGGAATGACCCAACTACACGCATTGTTGGTTGCAGAAATCAAGTATATGTTTTGTGAGACCGAGTAGTCTGCAGTATTTATCTCTAAGATGTGAAAGAAAGGCAGTTGGTTGAATAGC